TAGGCAATTATAAATTATATATAATATACTGGTACTTTTTGATAATTGTCTTACACTGTATGTACAGTTGGCGCTGAAATAATACAATTGGCCCAATATTTGACTGTTAATTAATTGACAAATGTACTGATAATGTACTAATCATACCATTGGTATAAGAGCTGACGTGGTACGAGCGAAAGGTCAACGAAAAGACCAAGGGCGGATTAAGCTGAACAGCAATGTAATTGGATGACGAGTAAGTGACCACTTGATAGCCATTACAACTGGCCTCAAGACCCCACTGTCCGGCAGACAACTGGATTGAGCTGATGTTGACGGCGCTGTCGGCGCCGCTGTTGCAGACGATCTCGAAGTGATCGACTAGTGTTGTGTTTATAAACGGAGTAAAACCTGCCAAATAAATATCATAATTGGCATCATCTACCATATATTACGCTCGACAATTCACTATTTGATCAAATTTAACAATTATAACTGCCATGAAATTACCAATTTGATATATTACTTGCGCATTCACGTTCAGAAATGCCCCACTTGCAATTAGTAATACACAGAAGAGATACATTTTATATTATGAAAATTTCTAATTTAATTATACTATTTTATTGGATCTAGCGTTAATAACGTTACTTATATTATTACTGGCAAAAGATTTACATGGACGTTTATATTCACTTAGTGAAGTTAATTTCATTAATTTTTGTTAATTCTGGAACTTTCTATAATACTTGCTTGGTCATGTTATAATGACTTGTTAGTCGGATCCTTACAAAAGTAAAAAATCTGTTGCTATCAATATGTCGGCCAATCGTTGGTCGCAATTTAAATCAAATTCAAATCAAACTTTAATGAAATCTCTATCAACAAAATATAGCTTTTTATAGGAAACCTTTAAAATGCAAATAGCGCTAATTTATCAAGGTTAACTGAAGTTAATAAAGATAATACACTTTTCTAGTTATTTGTAAGTAAGGTTTAATAGTAATAGTGAAACTATTTTCGGAACTAATATATTGGCCAAAAAGGGCAACAATAACGGTTTGTGTGAGCAATTGAGTTATAAATTATGTCCTTGACAATAGAGGGTCAAGCTGATCTGATATCGTATTTGATCTGATCTGACTTGAGCTCTAAAAACTGATCTGATCTCAAGTCCAAAATTAACTGATTATAGCATGTGTTCATTAAAACAATTGTTATTTCGGTTTTAATCGCTGACCTCTCAATCAAATCAGACGAGACGGAGGCACCGCCCGTAGGGGTCAATGACCGTTGTATAAGGTTTTACGTGATGACACCCCCTTAGGGATCAATGACCGTTGAATTGTTTTTGGATCTGATCGCGAAAATTAGATCAGTTTTGGACCTCTATTTGACCTATCTCAGAAACCTTAAGTATCGACATTTTCTATGTTTTAAGTCATTATTCGACTTCTGTTCCTAAGCTTGTCTCACGGGTTGATACTGACCCGGGTCCATAATTACTATGAATATCCCTTACAGTCATTATTGATTACCTGGGTCCGACGCTGAACCATGTCCGCCCGTGGCCTACGAGGTTTCAACTGTTAGATACATGAGCATGTCTAATTTAGAATAGTGTCGTTTTGGAGATGATACTTATGGAATCATCAGTTGACTACTGTATAATTGTTAAATGTATCTGTCACCAACTTTTAGAATTCAAGAGTTTTTGACAAAAAAAAGTGTCAAACAAAGTGATATGACTAAGTTATAACCATAGGGGAATTCTGGTTAGAAACTGCACATTCAGAGCTATACATTAATAAACTCATTATGAATATTTTATTTTTAATTATAACGCCCCTATTGTTATGACTAAGTCATATCTGGTATATCACATCAATATCATATTAAGTGTATGTTATATAATAGACATTGAATTTAATAGTAATATACTTTAATCAATTGAATATTCATAGTGAGTAATGTACTAAATTGTTAATACTTAATACAAAGGTACAGTTTATAAATGAACTCATAATATGATATTAAAAACAAAGCATTCATATGTAGTACTCGTATATTATTTGAAGCGAAACACAATTTCTTGTATCAAAACATATCGAGAAAGACATTATTGTAGAGCTATTGCCATTTCATCTCCCGTTCCCAAAGTGACTCCAAACCCGTTCCCATCCACTCGTCCCTCACTCTCTGGTCAATTAAATCGCTCTCATCTCTGGTCAACACTGATCTCCAGTTCCCGACCGAACCCTTCCGTAAATGATCGGCCATTCGATGGCGGGTTTGAGTTGAGTTCACAACGGGTTTCATAACTCCAAAACTGGTCGCCCGTAGGATTTGCTCCAAAAGGGTGGGAATTGTAGTAGTGGTCAGCGATAGGGCACCGGTGCCATAGACTGGGTATGGCTGATACAGCCGGTCCACGTACTCTGGGCCTAGGAATTGGGCGATTTGCCTGATGCTAGGCTCGGGGTCGACCGCCATGTGCTCGTACACCAGGACCGTGCAGTTTGAGTGGTGGCGCTGTTCCCAGAACTGGCGTACGGTCGCGAAGTACTGGCCGTAATACATGTCTAGGGTTACCCCCAAAAAATACAAGTCCCTCATTATTGGAGGTTTCGTCACACCTATACATACCGATGCCGGCCAACCATCGCGGGAAGAACTGATGAAAGTTGCCCATCGCTCGCAAGTCCGGGAAATAGTTATACAGCGAAACGCATACGTCTTTTGGGTTTCGCAAAATCATCAGATATTTTGCCGCCGACTCCGAGGCCAACAGTTTGCCGCTTATATGAGTGCTCATGTAGGTCACCGACTGGTCGGTCAGTGCCCGCCGGGTCAACACCTCCTCGCCGTACCCTTCCATCCAATAGCCGGAGTACTCGGGCGAGTGCTGGGCCTCCAAACTGCGACCGGCGCTCATAACGGCGAGTATGATATGTTTGGTCCAAACGGTTCCGCATCGCGGATACGTTATGAGTATACGGTCCCCGTCTCGGGGTCTATAGTCTAGCGCCCACTCCACGCGAGTCCTGTCGTAAATCTGGCCGTAATATTGGCCCCGAATTTGTTGTAATTTTTGCGAATAGACAGACATTATGATTACGATAATGTTGTGAACAGAATGAGAATAATAAACTGTTTATATGAGCATGCAGATTTATAAACTGTACGCTATTTAATATTGCAATGTGCGCATACGAAAAATGACTATTCATTTGAATTGGAAAAACATTTATATTTTGTAACACCAATGATGGGCAATAANCTACCATTCCGATCACGTGTTGACCCCAAACATCGACACATTGGCCGCCGATGGCATCGTATTAAACCAATATTACAGCCATACAACTGCGAGAACCAGTAGGACGTCCCTACTCACTGGCGTCCACCCCATACACACCGGACTACAGAACCTGTTCATTATGAACCATTCGCCTACCGCTGCGCCCCTACACTACAAACTATGGCCGCAATATCTCAAACAATATAACTATAGCACACATATGGTCGGTATGTGAGATGTAAAACACATATGATTTACAGTTTCGGTGATAAAAATGTGGAAAATAGTATCGGTCTCTCAAACTCCCATCCGATGGCGTATAACATGAATCCCATGGACGGGCAGTTTGGGGAGCCGACACTATTTGTAAATTTGCTAAAATTACCGCAAACTTAAATGTTTTATATATGTCTTTAAAAATATCAATTAAATCAACCGATGAATTACAATTGTCAATTAAAAGCAGTGTTTGCGTATTCAGATTAATCAAAGCTTAATCTTTACCAACGATTCATTAGTATTGTAATTGAATGCAAGTTAAGTTTAAAAGCTTTTAGTAGGCGTTATTAGTAAACACTGATTTTTTATTCACCATGTTTATTTATCGATTGATTTACTATAGATCACAGCCCAAATCTAATTAGTGGGTTAGATAAGGTTTCGAAAATGAACAAGATTCACATTTTAATTTTTCAATTATCACTACAAATAAATGTGCTAGAGCT